TATGCCAAAGAAGTACAAAACAAGCGGTGTGGAGTCTTAGAGAAGTAAAAACCATTCTCACAAGGATAATCAGAAGAGAGGCTACTAAAGATACTTCCTATGATTTTTAAAGGAATAAGAATTTGGATAGGCTAAGCATATAAAACATTAATGTTAGAAGGTTTCTATTAAATGGTTCTGAAAAGTGGCATATAGAGAAATATGATTTGGCACAGTGGTAAATCTACATATTAAATAGCTTATTGTCTTATTCTTTGATGATGTTGAATTAAATAAGATGCTGTTTTATATATGATTCTTACTGGAAGCTTGGCAATGTAAAGTTTTAAGTGTTTACATGCAAATATCATGAACTTTTTTGGAAAGGTAAGCAAGCTAAGAGCTTAAAATATCAAATAATAAAATTATTAAGGTTAAAGCTCTTTTTCTTTTCTAATATACTCCATTATTGATAGTTTCTTGGAATTTTACTTTTTTCTAGTTTTATTTGTTTTTAGTAAAATACTTATCTGTTTAATTTTGATGTAAATACATCTATAGGGTGATGATTTCAATTATTCTTATTAAAACATATTTTTCCCTCCTAAGATAAACCAGCCTACATATGATTCTAATTGGCAAACAAGGAAGATACAAAGAACTATGAATGTAGGTGTAGTAAAAAAAATAGTAAATATTTTATGGCTTGGTTATGTAGTGCCATAGGATTTTAGAAGAACCAAATAATTAAAAAGAGACAACCCAATGGCAACCAGCATTGGATCTTAGTAGAATGTACTTCCACTGTTCTCTTGAAATACAATTACTATTCTAGCCAAAATATTTAAATTGTTTAAAATACAAATTATGAATAGAAGGTATTATTTTAGAGGGTTAATACAAATTTTTGTTTTTATAAACAAAAATTGAATAATTTAAAAACTATGGATTGGTAGCAAAGAAAGAAAGAATTGCATAATCATTTTCTAGGGTGGGCGGTAAAACTATGGATATGTCCTCCTGTGTTATGATTAATAATTTAAAAATATATTTATCATATTCCCACTGTCTGATCATGAGTTTCATGAACAACTAAGCGTGCCTCTGAGTAACACTGAATGATCTATAATTTTTTATCAGTCTGGATCTAGCGAGAAGAGATATGTCAATAACTAATTGAACAGAGAACTTAAGAGTTAGGAGTTATAAATAAAATAATTTTTAATTAGCCTACTGAAAAGGCAAAAAGAGAACTAGAGTATGGTGGTAGCAACTACAGGAAGCAATAGCCAGCCAAGGGCTGAAAGAACAATGGAAAGACTGAAATGAAAATTTGGAAGTATAGTGAGGGACCTAGGGCGCTAACCCCCGGGAGATGAAGACCTCTGCAGAGGGGCCTAAGCTCAGAGGACTGGTCCCTGTGGGAAAGGTGGTGAAGTGGATTCTGCTAGAGTTGGCACAACTGGCATACTAGACTCACCTGCGGCTGTGGAAAGCCCCTTCAGCTCCTGGAGTGAAAGAGGAAGTGTTACCCAAGGAACAGACAGGAAGTAGCCCTGGAAGCCACAGGAAGCAGCTGGAAAAGATGGAGTCACTTCTTAGTATCCCCTGCTGTCTAAGTATAAAATTGAGCCAGGTGCTAAAGCAGAAAATGTCGTTTACAGTCCCAACTCCATTATCACAATAGTAAATATAAAAGGTTATGTTGGCTTTGAGACAGTAGCTTCATAACTGAAACAATCTATGATCAAAACAATTTATTTCTACAATATAGTGTTATATTCCTCCAGTGGAAATCATGTCACTCATATTTAGGTTTTGTTTTCTACGATTTCTGGACCCTCTAAGGTTTTTGTAATACTAAGAACACAAAAAAGAAATATTTCATTTGCTTGGTGAGAGACTAAATTTCTTTGAAAGTGTCTTCAAAGGATTTGCTTCCACCAAATATATTTTAAAAATTGAATTTTATCAATTGAGGTTTTGAGTTTAATTAACAGATTAGGTTGCCTTTGACAAACAGATATTTATTTTTCCCTATTTCAATTTTTTCCCTTATTTTCTTGAGACAAGGTTAACTTAAAAAATTCGAAGGCATTTCAAATACATCTCCACCTCTAATTTTTAAATTTTTGTTGAAAAATGAAATTTTAAAATTTGAATGTAAAATTGGGGAGGAAAGGTATATAGGGAACAGAGAGGAGAGGGAAATATCCTTATAGATCAGGAACTATCCTTTCCATCGATTTTTCTATTTCTGACAACTCAAAGCTGTAGATATAAAAAAAGAATTTACTCTCAGGACATCAGCATGTCAACACTATTGTTTAAAGTCATGAGAATCCCAGTCACCTGCGACAGTGTTCAGATGTGGGTTGTAATGCTTATGGGTCTTAGCACTGTCTCCAGATGAGTTTAAAAAAAAAGCGGGGGTGGGGGGAGGCTAAGCATCTGATATTAGTCTTTGTAAGTGTGAAAGTCAAGCAAAGCCTATCTTATGTTTTTTTCTTTCCTTTATAGGGAAGAAGAAGAGGAAATTGATGCAGAGGAATTGGAAAGACTGAAGGCAGAGTTAGATGAAAAGAGACAAATAATTGCGACAGTTAAATGCAAACCTTGGAAGATGGAGAAGAAAATTGAAGTTCTCAAGTATGTTGCTACTTTTCATATGTATAAACACTTTCCCTGTTATTGATCTCCTAAATCCCTCTTTATTACCTATATATTATAGATAGTGTTATATATATGTATGACACTTATATATTGCTTATAGTCATATATACATATATGATATATATGCACACATTATATATATATATGTGTGTGTGTGTGTGTTTGTGTACATATGTATATACATGCATACATACACACATATGTCCCATATCATAAGAGAGACTGGGTTAATAATTATAAATTTAGAACAATTATAAGCAAATTCATTATTTAGAGTCTTTTAATGTCTGTGGCCACATTTATTCCTTAATTTGAAGTTTTCTTAGTTTAATACATTGATTACCATCCCCTGAAAGAGATAATATATTTGAATTTTACAAGTGTGTGCAGTTGTGTGCTCTTGTTTCTCTGCAGGTTCCTGGACTCAAATGATCTTTTCATGTTACAGCTCTGATGAAAGCAGAGGAGGATGCTAAGCCAACAGAACAGTAAATAGGATTCCAATTAAGGGTTATGCTAATAGCTATTCCCTGGTAACACATCAGTGACCCAATTTCAGTAGTAATTGACTGCTGATATGGTTGCAAACATACTCAGAGCACACAGATTCATAAACCTCTCACATGCAAAAATCAAAGGAGTCTACCTTTCTGGGGGATGGGAGCAGATTCTCTCTTGAGAATTATACTATATTCCCTGGCCTGGATAGTTGGGGGAGATGGTGTGTGTAGAAGAGAATGTGTTTATGTTGGCAGCTATGTTTCCATCTCTATCATTTTTCCACAAACCATTTTTGGTTAATTTTCAAAACTATTCTCTCCCCAGTCTATTTGACTAATAATGCTGTTAAAATGATAGTATACTATTATTGTCTCTGGTGATATATAAAAGAACTGAAGTAGGTATTAGCAAAATTCACATCTGTCCTTGACTCTGCGAAAACTTGTGTGTTATTTAAGGAAATCATTTAACTTCCCAGAGTCTCAGTTATCTCATATACAAAACAGCAAAAAATAAAAAAATAAAACAGAAACAAACCTGAAGATATACTAGATCTATCCTCTGCTATTATGTTCTGGTATCTAATCATAATAATATTTGTAGTCATAATATTATAGCTTTGTTTTATTTTGTGAAATAAGGTTTTTTAAGTTCCAAATAATAGTTTCCCTGGAAAACTTTTGCAACATCGCACAATTTACTGGGAACTCCATATGCACACATACACATCCATCATGATTGAAGGCAGTGATTAATAGCTGTCTTTGTTTCATGAAATACTAGTCACGTATGTATGTGTGTGCACATGCATGTGTGTATCTTTGTACATTAAAATAATTTCCATTTAATGATGCTAATTTATAGGTGTATAAGCATCATTACTTGGCAAAATGGAAATTTGGCAGCCCAATACTGGTCCATAAAATATATTTGGAGATATTAATGCCCCCTAAAATCCCAAATATATTCTGAAATAGTAATGATGCAAAAGTCACAGGTAACTATGTATACAAAGTGATAAAGTTGTAAAATGATAATATTGTACAGTTTCAAAGCATAAAACTGAGGAAGAACATCAAAGAGTATCTCCCCTTGTAGAGATACCTATCCCCAACTCTCCTGTATTTATCTCCCATGTAGGACAGTAGAGTAGATACAGGCTTCAAACTTGAGTTTAATCTCAGATCATCCACTCAATGGATGTGCCAAATTGGATGAGATATGTAGCTCCTTTGACCTCAGGTTTCTTATGAAATTGCATTTGCAAGGTTATAGGAAACATAAAGTGGGGGTAATTCACATGAAATATTTATCATGATTCCAGAACACAGCACCTGGCTAGGAAACCCAATTATAATTATTATTTCTTCTGAGAATAAACTTAATGATGCCTTATTACTTGCAGTATGGCAGGAGAGATGGAGAAAGTTTGGGATCTCACAGGGCGAGGTGGGAGCAGGCTTAGCCACAGGCAGACCTGGGGGCATGGAGACATGTTAGTTGTAGTCTGCATTAATTATCAGATTTTGAGGTCCCAACAAAAGGAAGGAAAGAGCATCTTGACAATTTGGCAGAACCCAGGGCCAGACCTCTTAGATCTTCCAAAACATACCCTCAGGGTAGTCTTGTGTCAGATTCCATGTTCTGGGGCCCTGGGCTGGAGTCCAGAAATTAAAGAGTTTTTAAAAATGTGGAGAAATAGAAACTGACATGAAAAGAAGGACACCACAAGACTCTAGCACTAGGATAGAGGTTGAAAATGGAAGTCAACAGCTGAATCAATGACGTAGGTACTTTTTATTTGGCCCACATACTTTTTTTTTTTTTTTTGTCTAGCTTTTAATTGTGGGAGATTTTACATTTGAAAAACTCACAAGTTCAGTTTCTCATGGACAAGTGGAAGATTGGTTCCCACATTATTACATTACTACAACAGCTGGGACTAAGCAAGGACTACCCCCTATGAATAAGACATTCACTCACTCTTCAGTTTGCAGAGTTCCCAAGGCGTCCACATCACTTGTTTATTCTGTTGACTGGACCTTGTAGGCATTTGAATTTGCTGCCTTCCATGAGGGTATCTGGGGAGCAAGCTAGGCATGTTACCAAGACAGTGAGTCACAACAACAAAGCCAAAGTCGTCGGTTTGCAGAATGGAAGTGCACATTTAAGCCCAGAGAAAAAACCACTGAGGCTGCTCACCTGTCAGTAAGGCTCACTGAGTCTTCTGATGCTTCCTCATGGCCAGGAGTGGTTTTTAATTTGTGGCTTCCCTGCTCTGCAAAGGGGTGCTAATATTCACAGCCAGCCTGATTCTCTTGGTGTCAGCCTCATTGGTGATCAAGCTGTTGGTGGAAAGTGCTGGACCTGTCTTCCTTTGTGTGTTTTTGAATGCTGTTTTGAGCATTGGAATCCCTTACGGATTCCAGTCATTTCATAGCATTTGGGGGAAGATGGGGCAGAGTGGGGTTTGGTTCTCTTTCCCAGTGTTGCTAAGGCAGGGGTGTCAGCTAGCTTTCCCTTCGCCCTTTGTTTCTTTCAGAGAAATCTACCCTGAGAGTTTTTCTAAGAATTATTATGATTCTCAGAATTAGCCTCCAGTTTTATTCTGCTGATTACATGACATCTAAGACACCAGGCTCAATATTATTGGAACAGAGGTTTTTATCACAGGTTTGGATCAGTATCTGGGTTCCAAGACTTATCTTCTGGACTCTGAAACAATTGTGAAACTTCTAAAATAGAATTTAAATAGGGTCAGAGTTTCAAGGAGGTGTATAGAGTAAAGCTACAGAGAAGCTTCAGCTGTGATACTGAGGATGCTATGGGAGGTTCAGGAATTGCTTCCACAATTTTCAAGAACAGCTACCACTATAAACAGGAATGTCCTCAGGGATCAAGGTGATAAGATGGTTAATGTAAGTAGTTAACACTGTTCCACATACATGTAGCCTTAAACCTCATAAATGAGAATCTCTGGGTGGAGGGGGGCAGCTGTGCTGGCCCCAAATATGTATTTTTATTTTTTATTCTGAAAGTCACTGCAAAAGGTGAGGACTTAGAACCACTGTCTTCCATGCTGAGAATAGAAAACATTCTGCTGTTCTTTGGGCAATTTACTAAACAGATCAGATGTGTGTTGACAGGGGTGGGAAAAAGGGAAATAGTAGTACTGCTTCCACTTACCTGTATGTCAATTTCAATTTTTAAATTAGTTACTTCACTTAAACATATCTATCAATGAAAATATTAAGTATATTCTGGGTTTTTTTTTTGTTGTTGTTGTTCATAGGCTTGGAGATAACTAGATCTTTCCTACCTGTGAAATGTGGCAGCTCTAACATGGTGGCAGCCACCACAGCTGAAATAAAACACTTGGGTGGAAAATAACACTTGGGTGGAAAATAACTGGTCTTCTTATTACTCTCCTGAAACCTAAAACCTTTAACTATATCAGAACATTATGTGTAGTAAATTAAAAGCCTTTATGACTAAACCTAAATAAACAACCACCTGATTTTGTTATAGTAGAATAGGTTTAATCCTGAAAATGAAGAGAATTGATTGTGATTTCAGAGCTACTCCCGACTTCACCTTTTGAACCCCAGTTTGTTTGTTTATAAAGTGAAGAGTTTAGATTGTGGCTTATAATTTTCAACCTGTTGTCCTCAGTGGTCAGGTGGTTTGGTGGGATCCGTTCAGGGCAAGGAGGGCATAGTTATGAGGGAGGACCACTTGGCCACATGGCAATCTCCACCAGAACAGACTTGTCTATCTTATAAGATACTCTGTTTCAGTCAGCTTTTTTGCTGCTATGACTGAAAGAACAATAGTAGAAGAGGAAGTTCAGAGGTCTCAGTCCATAGACAGAAGGCTCCATTCTTCAGGGCTTAAAGAGATGCAGAACATCATGGTGGAAGAGTGTGGTAAGGGGAAGCAGCTCATATGATAATCAGAAAGCAGATCTCCACTTACCAGATACAAATATATACCCCACAGCCGCCCCCATCTCACCTGCCTTCAATTACCACTCAATAAATCCCATCAGGTGATTAATCCACTGGTTGGGTTAAGGATCTCATAACCCAGTCATCTCTTCCCTGAAGCTTCTTGCATTTTCTCACATGTGAGCTTTGGGGGGACACCTCACATCTAAACCATAATACTTCCATATAAAACATTTATTTAAAACAGGAGTACTTCCATGGCAACTGAAAAACAACACTGAGTTGGATATTTTGAAATGTTGATTTTAGGAAGAAGTCAGTTCTGACATTTCATGGATCCATAGATTAAGGTATAGTACTCCAACTAGGCTTTTTCATGAAGTTGGCTCTTATACATATATAGACTGTGTTAATTTCTTGTAGCACCCTGACTCAGTGTTTCTGGGAGTTGTCTGTTGGCTGACTATGCCTGGTGATTTATTAATGAGACGCCCAGTAAAGCCAAGAAACTTACCCTTAGGACTTCACTTACACTTAACAGGTGCTTGAAACTGTCAGTGAGCCATTAAGGTAACATTCCTCCTTATTCTGTCTCTGTTCATCTGGTCGAACTTTCTTTGTTTTAAATCCAATTTTGTTTTATTTTTTGGTAGGGGGAACTAATATAGTTCTAGAAAAGTGAGAACAAACCACGGTTGATTTCCTCTGCTGGAGTCACCTGGGAGAACTTTAGGGAAACTATTTTCTCGGCTCCCATTCTTACCCCCTTCCTCACTAGCTTTCTTGGAACTTGATATTTTCATGAGCAATAATCATGGTTTATATTGCTAGTTCACGAAGGCCTTTCTTTCACCTGTCATAGTGAAGGAATAAAAGATTCCACTCAAGAGGACTTTTAAATATGAGTACACGCTAACACATACTGCAACAGTTTTGAGTTCTTTTTAAAATAACAGCTCAACTGAAATGTAGGTCTTCAGTTCTTGCACAACACACTATCTAGGAGACAGGGATTTATTTATTTATTTTTTCACCAAAAGAAGAGAGAATCTGTAGACAATGAATGAATCTGAATTTTGTTCATCAAAATGTAACATTAACATTCAATTTTTCAACTACTTAATAAGCTCATACACAGTGTTAAGCAGTATGCTGTGGGCATGTTTCTTAGCTTCTTCAACTTCAATGACCTCACCCTACGTAAGGATAAAAATAGCACTACTCCATAGAGTTACTGAAAGGATTAAATCAGTCAATAGACATAAAGCACTTAAAATAGTGTCTGGCACATAGTAATCATTGAATGCATGTTACTTATTATTTTACTTTCACAATTCCACTTATTGCTCTCAATTCTAATTCAAGAAAGATATTATTATTCTGACTTTACATATAAGGAAACTAAATCTCTGAGAGGATAAGTAACTCTTTATTGCCAGATAACTAACAAGTGATGGAGCTTTGATTTGAACTTGGCTGGTGGAAAATTGCTGTGATGCAATTTGCTGGTGCATCAACAGACAAGCTCTCCCAGAAGTCAGAGATCTAAAAAGCTTCAAGAACAAATTACAAATGCTCAAGAATCACATGGTTTATGAAGATCATTTAAAACACAGTGAGAAATGAGAGGAAAGAAAGGGATCAATTAGCAGGATGCAGATAGAGTGGCTTTAGAGTTGGGCCATAAGCAACAGAATCTCAATGCTCTATCCTGAGTTTGGTAATGTCATTTTGTCCGGTCACTTCAATCCTGCTGATAGTGCTGCTAAAAGGACTAAGGTTCCAGAGGGGCTGACAAAATGAATATGAACTGGGCAAAGGATAGGCACTTGCTGTATTGGAATGACGTGGGACAAGTACACCTGACATAATGATAGCTTGTCAGTTGACCTGTTATAGTGCTATGGGTTGTATCTGTATTTCTTGGACAGAGCACATGTGAGAGGAACAGAACCAGATGGAATGACTCCACTGAGTGGTGAGGTTAGTGGAGACAGGTATTCATTCCCAAAGAGGCAGGATCATGACTTTGTTCTTCCATCCTTTTCTAATCATAATATTCTTATTAGTCATATTTTCTATTTTGTCTTTCTTTTGTATGTGTTACAGGTTACCAACTTACCTGTACAAAATATATCAATTATATCTGTATATCATATGCTACCTATTTATTTATTAGCTATGTTTAACGCATCCTGTGTGTAGGAACAGCTGCATAATTTGCAGAACCTAGTGAAAAATGTAAATGTGGGATCTCCTTTTCAAAAATAATTTAAAACTTCAATTATTAACAATTTCAAGATGGCAATGGCAGAGACTTAGATTGAGTACAGGGCTCTTCTGAGTGTATGGTCCCAATAGCATAAGTCACAGTCCCATGAGATTGACCTTGCCTATGAGTTTCATTTAAACTTGAATTCCAGCTTCCTTTCTAAATTGAATTCTCAGTTATTGATGATGGTGACCATGAGGTCTTGGAGATAGAATCATCTCCATGTGTGTGTGTGTGTGTGTGTGTGTGTGTATGTGTGTGTGTTGTGTCTACTGTGTATCAGATCTTATACTAATAGATGTTCACACATTAACTTCTTTATTCCTTATAAGAACATGTAAAATAGAAAATAATCCCCATTTTAAAGACAAGAAAACTGAGATTGACAGATAAAGTGGCCGCACACAGCCCAAACTGTTTAAGTGAGGATTAAAATCCAGGTAATTACATATCCAAAATTTCCTACTTTTTCTATTGTGCCACACTACTCATTTTAACCACATTTCCCAATAAAATAGTCCTAACGTTCTCTAGACATGCTAGGTATATTTTAGGTCTTCTTTCCAGTCTCCTCTTCACTTTTTGACATCTTGTGCTTCTTGCAGGCTTTAGAGCCTTCAACTGCCCTTAGAGCTCCTTTCTCTGCTAATTCCTATAGAAATAAGACTCAAAAAGACTCTATTATTCATTTGATTTTCTTGTTTGCTGCATTTTTTTTACATATTTTGAATTACAAATCTTACTTTCAGAAGAGATTTTGAACTTCTCAGAACATGAAAGATATGTTATTGTTCTTAATTTTCTCAAAACCTAACATAGCATCCCATGTATAGTAAGCACTAATGTTTTCTGTGTGGGGATGATCATGTTAATGGAGATTTTTGTTTTGTTTTTGCTGGACAGTAACTTGCAGGGCATGAGAGCCATGAACATGAATGGAATGTTTAAAGGCCCTGGATGACTAAGTGGATAAAGGACAAGGAATGTCCTAGTTCAAATGCCCTGATTTATAGTATTTGCCAAGTTCTATGGTGTAAATCCTTCCATTATGAACAATTTCAAACTACCAGCAGTTTAATAATAGTTTAAGAAATTCCTGAAAGTTTAATAATCAGTGGTTTTTGAGAGCCGGTTATGAATCAACTCCAGTATGCCTTTGGGAAATCTAGATGTGTCCTTTGATTAACCAAGTTTATGCTAAAGGAAACTAATCAGGAACAACTGAGAGTAGGGACTAACGTAAGAATTTTGCTTGTTATTTAGTCTGTAATCAACAATATAATGCTTGAATTACAGCTGCCTATAAGAAAGACAAATATTATTTTATAACTTCAGGATTCCATATAAAGGTTGAAAGTGTATTAGTGACTTCTTAGGCTATTTTTAAAATCTTAATACCTGGAAAAATATTTTTCATTTTATATTCTAAAAATTTCTCCCAAATTTTTAGCCTCCATAGTTTGTCTTCTTTTGTCTCCTCCTCTTCCTCTACTTTTTTTTTTTTTTTTAATTCACCTTAAATAGGAGAACATTTTTTTCAAGATAAATCAATTCTTGGTTGAGGTCAACAATCGCTTAACATTCATGTTAGAGCTCATCAATAATCTGACTCATTATTCTCATTGCATTGGAATCAGACTTTTTAGTTAATAACCAGTCTTCATGTTACTTACTTCTATTAAGCAAGAACAATGTCCCAGGAAATTTTCTGTCACAGGATTTAGCCTTTGCATACATGCTATATTGCTGTGAGTATTTAGCAAATGATTGTGGTTAATTCTTTTTGATCTGCCTTGTTTTATTCAGCTTACATATTTATTTTAGCTTTTAAAATTATCTTAACCATGAACAGATGAAACAGCAGAAGCATTATTTATGAATATTTGAAAAACTCTTTCTTGAATATTCAGTATATACTATCCACTACAGGAAAACTTGTATGTGAGAAACAGTTCCCAGTTCTTTTGTGAAACACCTAAATATCCATTTTATATACACTGAAAGAGAAACACTTAATAGGTTTATCTTCAAATTTAAGATTATAATGAATATTTTACAAATGAATAAAATACTTTGGAGTTATTAAACTTTCCTCAAAAAAGAGTAATATATAGAGAGAATGTATTACTCTGAATGTATTACCCTGCCCCTGAATTTTGATATGTTGCAGCCCTAATTCCAAGTGGGATATTATTTGAATTTATTGTCCGTACGTTTAGATGAGTCATGAAGGTAGCCTTATAAGAACATGGATGTGAGATATCTGTCACTCAGCCACATGAGGATGCTGCAAGTAGGCATTATATGCATACTAGAATAAGGTTCAAGGGACAATAACAATATTAGTATTTTTCCATATTGTAAAGCAAATTTTGAGGATTTAAATTTTTTAAAATTTTAATTTGTTATATGACAACAGAATGGTTAAAATTTATATTACACACATAGAGCACAATTTTTCACATCTCTTATTATACACAAAGTAGAGTCACAGCCTTCGGGTCTTTCATACATGTACTTAGGGTAATAAGGACCATCACAGTCCACCGTCTTTCCTACCACTATGCTCCCATCCTTCTTCTCCCTCTCCTTTCCCCCTTTGCCCTATCTAGAGTTCGTTTAATCCTCCCAGCCCCACTCCCCAAATGCAGCATATTATGAATCAGCTTCCTTAAATTAGAGAAATCATTCAGAATTTGTTTATTTGGAGATTGGCTAACTTCACTTAGCATTATATTCTCCAGCTCCATCCATTTACCTGTAAATGCCATGATTTTATTCTCTTTTAATGCTGAATAATATTCCATTGTGTATATACACCACATTTTCTTTATCCATTCATCTACTGAAGGGCATATAGGTTAGTTCCACAGTTTATCTCTTGTTAATTGTGTTGCTATAAACATCGATGTAGCTGTGTCCCTGTAGTATGCTGATTTTAAGTCCTTTGGGTATAGATGAGGAGTGGGATAGCTGGGTCAAATGGTGGTTTCATTCCCAGTTTTCCAAGGAATCTCCATACTGCTTTCCATATTGGTTGCACCAATTTGCAGTCTCACCAGCAATGTGTGAGTGTGCCTTTTTTCCCCACATCCTCACCAACACTTATTGTTTGTATTCTTAATAGCTGCCATTCTGACTGGAGTGAGATGAAATTTTAGAAGAGTTTTGATTTGCATTTCTCTAATTGTTAGAGATGTTGAACATTTTTTCATATATTTATTGATTGATTGTATATCTTCTTCTGAGAAGTGTCTGTTCAGTTTCTTGAACCATTTAGTGATTGGGCTATTTGTTTTTTTGGTGTTAAGATTTCTGAGATCTTTATATACTCTAGAGATTAGTGCTCTATCTGACATGCATGTGGTAATAATTTGTTCCCAATTAGTAGGCTTTCTATTCACATCACTGATTGTTTCCTTTGCCAAGAAGAAGTTTTTAGTTTGAATACATCTCATTTATTGATTCTTAATAGTAATTCTTGAGGTATAGGAGTCTTATTAAGGAAGTTGGGGCCTAATCTGACATGATGGAGACTTGGGCCTACTTTTTTTTTTTCTAATGGACAGTGTCTCTGGTTTAATTACTAGGTCCTTAACCTATTTTGAATTGAGTTTTGTGCATGGTGAGAGATATGGGTTTAATTTCATTTCGTTGCATATGGATTTCCAGTTTTCCCAGCAACATTTGTTGAAGAGGCTATCTTTTTTCCCATTATGTTTTGGCACCTTTGTCAAATATAATACAACTGAAATTATGTGGGTTAGTTTCTGTGTCCTCTATTCTGTATTATTGGTCTACAAGTCTATTTTGGTGCCAACACCATGCTGTTTTTGTTATTATCACTCTGTAGTATAGTTTAAGGTCTGGTATAGTAATGCCACCTGCTTTACTCTTCTTGCTAAGGATTGCTTTAGCTATTCTGGGTCTCTTATTTTTCCAGATGAATTTCAGACTGGTTTTTCTATTTCTATGAGGAATGTCATTGGGATTTTGATTGGAATTGCATAAAATCTATATAGTGCTTTTGGTAGTATGGCCATTTTGACAATATTAATTATGCTTATCCAAGAATAAGGTAGATATTTCCATCTTCTAATGTCTTCTTTAATTTCTTTCTTTAGTGTTCTATAGTTTTCATTGTAGAGGTCTTTCACCTCTTTTGTTAAGTTGATTCTCAAGTATTTTATTTTATTTTTGATGCTATTGTAAATGAGGTAGTTTTTTCTCATTTCCATTTTAGAGGATTTGTCACTGAAGAAATGCCTTTGATTAATGGGTGTTGATTTTGTATCCTGCTATTTTGTTGAACTCATGTACCAGTTCTAGAAGTTTTCTGGTGGAATTTTTGGGTCTTTTAGGTATAGAATCTGGTGGAATTTTTGGGGTCTTTTAGGTATAGAATTGAGATGTATGTTAAGTCATTTATTTGTTGACTTTTTCTTCTTCTAAGGAATAAACTCCATGCAGTGAACTTTCCCCTTAGAACTGCCTTCATAGTGTCCCAGAGATTTCAATATGTTGTATGTGTTCTCATTCATTTCTAAAAAGTTTTAAATTTTATCTTTGATGTCTTCTACAACCCGTTGTTCATTCAGTAGCATATTATTTAGTCTCCAGATGTTGGAGCATCTTTTATTTCTTATTTTAAGATTGATTTCTAATTTCATTCCATTATAATCTGATAGAAGAAAGGGTAGTATCTCTACTT